TCTCAGTGGTGCAGGGCGGCGGGGAGGGTGTCCCCAGAGACTTGCATTCTCTGCTGTCCCCTGGGGAAGCTTCTGACCCGGTCAAGGCCCTGCAACCCCAGGGCCCCCCTACCTCCCGCTGTGCCCTCACCCGGTCCCCGGCCTTGCTTGTAGGTGACTCTGCGACTGGACACCCACCCCGCCATGATCACCGTGCTGGAGATGGGGGCCGCCCGGCACTTCCTGCGCATGCAGCAGCTGGCCAAGAGCCAGGAGGAGCGCGCTCAGCTGCTGCAGCCCACGCTGGAGATCAACCCCAGGTGGGCTCCCGGCGCCGTGGACCCGGGGCACCCACGACTCGCCCCTGCGCGGTGATGCTGCGCAGATGGGGGTACGGCTCACGCCTGACACCTACTAAGGGCAGAAGGCTTATGGGCGGTTTGGGAACTGCAGACACCAGCTGTGTGATCCAACTACATTGAGTTTATCCCCCCACCCCAGCCCCCGTGGGAGGTTCTAGAACACGGCAGTGCTGGCGGCTGGATGCCCCTGTGTCCTGCTATCCTGGTGTGGCCAATCCCTCCTCAGCGGCCCCACAGCCCTCACTGTAGAGACTCAGAGCTCCTCACTGTGCTCTAGTCTGACTGTCGTGTGTCCTGGACACAGCTCTGGGTGGCCTGTCAGTGGTGTCCCCAGGCATGTGCTTCTGAGGTCGTACCTCCTTCGCTTCTCAGCGGACGGTGGCCGGAGGAGGGGGCGGGCGTTCGTGTCGGGGCGGAGTAACAGGCAGGGCTCTGCCTCGGCACCGTGATGCAGCCTTTCCTGGTGGACTTGGGGGTCGTTCTCGTTTGGGGGCTGCTGGGACGGGTTGCTTGGACCACTGTATCCTGTCTGGTCCCTGCCCATGTTTGCCTGAGGCTCACCTGCCCCGGTGGCCTCCGTGGGGTGAGGAGACGCTGCTGCCACGTGCAGCTGGTACGGGAGGCCCCGGGCCCTGCGCTTTGCACCCTTTAGCTTGGCTTTCTGAGGACACGCCCGAGACTGTCCTTTGTCCTGTTCTTGTAGTTTGCACTTTCTCAGTTGCATCTTCGTCCAGTGTCTTCATCTGCCTGAAGATGTGTTCCGAGAGGTTCTTAATTTTAACGAAGTCATAATTTTAAAAAACTCATTAATTTGAAGTTTGGTTGACATACGGGGTCCCTTTTGGACAAACAATGACGTTTACGGACACGACCACGTGCTCGCCACGACGTCCCTTACCCCGTCTCTGTGCGGTCCCAGCGGTTCCCCGTGCGGTCCTGCTCTTCCTGTGACTGTACAGCTGAGTCGGAGCCCTGCGACCCCTTCGCCCACTTCGCGCACCCCCCGTGCTACAGGTCTGTGTTCGGTGCTTTTCTAGGTCTCGTTGAGAAATCTTTCTCATCAGAGTCTCGAATGTATTCTCCTAACGTTTCTGTCTAAAAGCTTTAACGTTTTGGCTTTGGGGCTGGTTTTAGTCCATCTCTAATTGGTTTGGGATGTAAGAGTCATCGTATCTCACTGCACATGAACACCCAGCCGCTCACGCCTGTCCTCTCCCTGCTGACCCGCCTGGACGTCTCTGTCCAGTGGCCGCAGCACACGGTCTTCCCCACAGGTCTGTGTTCAGTGACCTTCCCCTTAGTTCCCTTCAAGGGTATCTTCCCTCCTGCACATCTGCGCTGTACGAGGTGGCCTGACAGGTTCCGCACGCACACGCAGTTCAGCTTTTGATTGAGATCCCCAGCCAATTTCGAATGAATTGGCATCGGTATGTCCATTCTCTCATCCGTGAACATGCTCGATCTGTTGTTTTTTCTTTCTTGTATTTGAGAGAGAGGGAGCGAGTGAGAGAGGGAACACAAGCAGGGGGAGTGGGAGGGAGAAGCAGGCCCCCCACTGAGCAGAGAGCACGATGTGGGGCTCGATCCCAGGACCCTGGCAGGTAAGTCATCCAGGTGCCCTGAAATTTCATCTTCTAACTTGCAGCTGTATATGAAAACTTTTGGGGGGATTTTGTATACAATGATTTCATAAGATTTATTTTGCACAGAGGGAGTACCTGGTGGAGGTAGGGGCAGAGGGAGAGGAAATCTCCAGCCGACTCTGTTGAGCATTGGGGCTCGATACCATGACGGGGAGATGACGACCTGAGCCAAAACCAACAATTTTGGCTGCTTAACCGACTAAGCCACCCAGGCGCCCCTACAATAATTTTTTAAATGAAATTATGCCAAGTTACCAAAAATGTTAGAAAATAGCAAAAAGCAAACCTCTCTAGGCTTGTCTTCTTCCATACTTACTATATAGCCCATTTGGTGTATTTTTTTCCTGGACTCTGGTCTTAAGTTGTTGTATTCATTTTTTTGTTTTTGCTTTTTAATGGTTTTTTTAAGATTCGGAGAGCGTGGGAGTGGCAGAGGAGGGGAGGGCGAGGGAACCTCAGGCAGGCTCTGTGGAGCGCGGAGTAAGACACGGGGCTCGATTCCATAACCCTGAGACCATGACCTGAGCAGAAACCAAGAGCTGGACGCTCAACCCACGGAGCCATCCAGGCACCGCTGTGTGCTCTACTATTTTTAATTATCATAAAGCTTTTTTCATGTTGGTTTATAATCATAAATTTTGTTTAGATTGCCGGGGAGAGGAAGGAGTCTCCTTTTCTGCTTCGTGAGCCGGATGACTAGACACGGAGTCAGCGGGTGAGACTGGACGTGGCTTGTGGCTGGTTCCCGGTCCCCGCGGACTGGCCTTCATGGCGGCCCGAGAATGGTGCTGGGAGGTGGCTGTCCCGGGTGCTCGTTTCTGTTGCCAGAGACGATTTTGAAATTTCAGTTGCTTTTAAAATTGGTAACGTGTTCATCTGGTCCAGAAATGGGAAGAACCAAAGGAACTCACAGCCACCTTTCCCTTGCACCTTTGTCTCCCGTGCGGCCCACATTAGGGGCGCGCGTTTGCCAGCGGCCTTGGAGCGGTTCTGCTGGACCCGGTGCTCTGAGATGGGCCGCTGCGTCTCAGGGCAGCGTCCACACCCGTGCTGGGGGACTCCCACTGTCCTCTGTTAGACACGCTTCGATTTCTTCAACGCCTTCAGTTTTACCAAAAACTTCTCAATTTTGATGTAGGTTGCATATGAGTAAGGTCAGATGGGATTTATGGTGTTTTCTCCTGTGCAGAAATGCTCTCCTCATGCCGTTGCCAGTCTCCCTTTTTGACCTCTGCATGTTTTGTTTCAGCTTCAGCAGTCCTCAAATTGTTTTCTTCTAAATGATTGTATTTCTTTTGATCTATGGAATCTACTAGAAATCCAGTAGTGTTCTGGGTTTTTGGCCAGTTACCCTCCCTCTTGTACACTTTCCAAAGATTTTATTTCAAGCGAGAGAGCGAGCCTGAGCAGGGGGTGGGGCAGAGGGAGAAGCAGGCGCCCCAGTGAGCAGAGCGCGATCCCAGGACCCCCGAGTCAGGACCCAAGCAGAAGGTAGACACTTAACCCAGAGTCCCCCAAGGCACTCCAAAATGCAATTTTCTTTTTGTTTTAGTGCTGTAGTTTATTCATATGTTTATATATTAAGCAGGATCAGGACCCTGCGATCAAGAGGCCTCCACTCTACCAGCGGAGCCAACCAAGGGCCCCCGACGTTGGCTTTTCAGAGCCAGCAGTGCAATCACTGGAGCCTTAAAATACGCTTTAACACTTAGGCATGGTCTTCCCCGGCTGTTCTCCCCATGCTTACAGACTTTAGTTACCTGAACTAAGGTAATCTGTTAAATGTATGGATTAAGTAGGGTTTCTGACATCGAATGTCTTGTTCATATATTAACTTTGGTACCTGCTGTATTTGCAGATCAAATCTCTGAATTCTCCTGGTTTTCTCGGTATAGCCTCTGGAATTCACATTATCTGCTTTTTTTCTTACACAGGACCGTCCTACTACACTTTTTTGAAGGTTCCGATCACCCCAACCTCAGAAGAGTCCTCACAACACAGAGGCCCTCATGCTAACTCTGGTGTTTTCTGTGCCGCAGACACGCGCTGATCAAGAAGCTCAGTCAGCTGCGGGACAGCGAGCCGGACCTGGCACAGCTGCTGGTGGATCAGGTGCGTCTCCGGGTCCGAGAGAACTGCCGCAGCACCGCCTATTCTTATTCTGTGAGCCTGGGGCACCTGTTGCCTCTAAAACCCTGTTTTGTTTTGTTTTTTAATTTATTTGACAGACAGATCATAAGTAGGCAGGCAGAGAGAGCGGAAGGGAAGCAGGCTCCCCGCTGAGCAGAGAACCCGATGCGGGGCTCGATCCCAGAATCCTGGGACCGTGACAGCTGAAGGCAGAGGCTTTAACCCACTGAGCCACCCAGGCGCCCTTACTCTTTTGTGAAGATTTTGAGAGAGCCCCGGACCCCGACAACATGATCTGAGTTGAGCAACTGAGCCCCCCAGGCACCCCTGAAACCCTGGGTTGGGAGGAGTAGTGCTCCTCCTCGCTCCCCTCTGCAGGGCCGTGTCCTCCCACTGACGGGCTCCCCCTCCCTCTCAGATCTACGAGAACGCCATGATCGCCGCGGGGCTGGTCGACGACCTCCGCCCCATGGTGGGCCGCCTCAACCACCTGCTCGTCAAGGCCCTGGAGCGACACTGAGGGGCCACCGGCGTGAAGGGCCCCGTCTCCCCGCAGGGACTCGGGCTGCAGCAGGGGTGACGAAGAAAGAGGCAGCCGAGACCAGCCGCGGAGAAAGGAGGAGGTGCCCCCTGTGACAACACCTGCTGTGAGCTTTATTTACTTAAAAGCATTTTTTACTTAAAAACTTGTGTCAATCTAAGCAGTGAACCGGTGTTGGGACTGCGAAGGTAGGTAGGGCGCTGGGTTGCCATGAACCCCCCACTCACTGCGGAGGCAGAGGGAGCGACCAGGCCACCCCCGCGGCGCCGTGTGTAGGGGAGGTCCTCAGCCCCGACGTGTGAGCACGAGGACAGGCAAAGCTGTAGCGGGTGGAGGCTGCGTCCCGGGCTCCACTCCCGTCAGACCCTCTTCAGCATCACCTCCACCGGGTAATGGTCGCTGATGGCCTGGGCCTGTGGGGAAGCGCACAGTGAGGACGGGGGCGCACGACCTGCTCTGCACACAGTATTGCCTGCTCGGCCCCCCACGGCTCTCTGATGTTGGTGCAGAGAACGGAGACAGCCGCGAGTCCCCGGGGTGCGGGCCGGAGCCCCAGCCCCAGGAGAGCTGAAGGGAAGGACACATACCAGCTGGCTGCTGAGGCCGTAGGCAGCCTGGAAGTCAAAGGGGGCAGCCGAGTCTGGAACGACGGCGTGCTGGAGCACTGTTCCGGCCACCACGATTCTGCCGCGCACAAGGTGGTCCCCGTCAGCCCCGGGGCTGGCCACCCGTACCCCCCCATCTCTTAGTCTGGGAAAGGTCACGCAGTGGGGCTGTTGGAGTCCAGCAGGCCCTCGCTGGGCTGAGGGAGCCCCTCCCCTAACCCAGGCGCTAGGGCCCCAGACTGCTGGAGGGTGACTGACCCAGGTTTTGGGAACCTGAACCTAGGAGTCAAGGCTGTTCCTGGAGGTGACCCTGTCCGTCCCTGCCTACCTGTCGTAGGCACAGTGCGTGGCCGTGGACGTGGTGTCCACGGTGTCAGGAATCAGCCACTGGAAGGCTGGGCTTGTGCGCAGGCGGACGGAGGCCCACTGGCTGGGGGCCACGTAGCTGCAGCCAGCGTTGAAGTCGCCCGTGAGCAGGACATCCTAGCAGGAGACGGCAGCCACTTGGCCTGGGCACACGGCATGTACCCCCAGGGCCTGGGGCCGGGGACTCACCTCCAGGTCCCACTTCTGCCGAACATCCAGGTAGACGTCATAGAGCGAGTCCATCTCTGCCACTGCGTCCAGGGGGGCCGCATGGAGTGGAACAACGGCGAACTCCCGGACCTCTACGGAGATGTCCTGCTCAGCCCTGGCGGGGTTAGGGGGCACGAGCCCATCCCAAGGGGGTGTTTTCCTGAGTGACTTCAACCTCAGACCAGAGCACTAGGGGTGACCAGGGCTTTCCAGGGATCCCAGGAAGGGGTGCGTACTGGTGAGCGGGGAGTGGAACCGGACGATGGTGGGCTCGCGGCTGAAGGTGTCATTCCCGCAGGGCTCGCAGCCGTCGTCGTACTGGTAGCTGTCCAGCACGGTCACCTGGTCAGGCCTGGGGAGGGCCGGGAGTGAGCCTGCGGCCGGGCCCAAGTGCGCAGCACACAGTGGGGCTCAGAGCCCAAGGCCCGCAGTCTGTGGCCTCCAGTTCCTCCCCACAGGACACACTGCTGCCCTTGAGGGCCCCCCGCACCCAGCCTTCCGGGAGTGCTCCTGGATGGCCCCCTTGTGTGTGTGCCCGGGCTTTACCTGAACAAGAAGAGGTAGCGTTCCTTGTAGCTGCTGCGGCCCAGAGGCTCACTGACCACATAATGATAGGTGTCTGGGTCATCCCTGGATGAAGGAAAGGAAGTCCCTGTCAGAGGGCCTCCTGCAGGGCTCCTGTCTCCATTCGGCAGCTGTACCTTGTCCTGGGGGGAGGGTCGCCTCCCCGGGCCCCCCCCACTGCCATCACCCACCGGTTGAGAGCATCCAGCAGCCTCCCCACGGCTGTCAGGTGGCTGTCTCTAACCTCCTGGACGATGGCGATGTCGTAGCGACTCAGGATCTACGGACAGAGCCACAGTGATGCTGAGCGGGGCAGCCTGCCTGGACGCTGGGGAGCTGGGCCCGGGGCGCCTTCATGCATGGTCTGGCGTGGGACTCTGCTGCTGGCCGGGGGACGGCACAGCAGACGGGGTGGGTTCTCTTCACCAGAGGCTCTGCACACCCTGGGTTGTGGGTACCCTCAGGACGGACTGCTGGCCCAGTGTTCCCAGGACCTGTTAGACTTGTCCCCTCTCCCTGCCCTGGGGTTCCTCGGGAACAGCCCGGCTTGGACTGACCTGCACGATGTAGTGAGAGAGCGTGTAATTGGACATCTTGGTCTCCCCAAAAGTCCGGATATTGAAGGCTGCTATTTTTAGGGACAGGGCCACCTGCAGCAGGCCGGCCAAGGCGAGCAGTGCCCCCGTCAGCCTGGCACCCCTCATCCTGCAGGAGGGGTGTTTATGTGTGAGTCTGCAGTAGGACCGTACCCCGTGGTCCCCCAGCGTCCGACCAGGAGCGGCTGGTAGAGTCTGAGTCTCAGTCATCCCGTTTCTGTGGGCCGTGCTGAGCAGGCTGGGGTGAGACTCAAAACCCTCTTCCCAGTGTCCAGAGAGCCAGACAGTGAAGGGCCCTGGGTGTTCTCCCTCCTCCACCCGCCAGAAGACAAGCCCCTGTAAGAGTCGCCAGCCCAAGGCGGCCCCTGACCCTCTGTTGCCAGGACACCGGCTCACAACCCTCCCTGTCCCAGGCACCCACCCAGCCAGGACGGGCAAAGGCTCTTCCCAAGTGGCCTCTAGGCCTAGCACCCACTTTCCAGGGGCCCCGTGTCACACTGCCCTTAAGGCACCAGACACTCACCTGAAGGTCAACTTCTACGATGGCAATAGGAATTCTTAGAAGAATCAGGAATCGATATTCTCTGATTGACTGGTATCAACACTCTTCTTGCTGCTTTAAGAAAATATTTACAAAGGAGAGTGAATTAAAAAACAAGGGTGAGAGACCCATGCAGAGTTGTGGCTGAGTCCCAGCACAGGCAACGTTCGTCTCCCCCTGGGGTTTTAAAGGTTTAGGGAGCCGTGACCTTGTCCAGGGCCTCACCTGGGGGACAGAGAACAATGGTGCTGCCTGTGTGGCTTTCCCACGTCCGTGGGTGGCTGGCGCGCACCTATCTCAACAGGCACAGGCTCCTGCAAACAGAGCACCTGACAATATTTGCACTTGGTTTTAAAAATTCTAATGAACTGGCCAAGGTGCCCTCGTCCTTCACACAATGCTGCTCTCCCAGGGAGGGGAAAGGAGCAGGTGTGTGCGAGCCTGGCTAGGTCCCAGCCTGACCTAGAGCCTCGGGTCAAAGCCAGCCATCCCCTGAGGGGCAACCGCTGCTTCCTCATGGGTCCACCTTGCGGGCCACCGGGCCCCAGGAAGCGGCGGGATGTGGGGCCCACCTCTGCTGCCAGCAAGGCAGTGGGAATTTAGGGTGAAGGAGCGTGTGTTCTAGGGGGAGGTAACTCAGGCGACTAAGTCTCAGGGACACTGTCAAGCAGCTGGAGGCTCTGGGCCGGCCCTCGCCTCTGGTCATTTCTGCTTTAGAATCCCTGTCCTGTTTGGGATGATTTCTGTGTCTACAGAAAAAGGTCACTAAAAAGTTGGTGGCTTAATTGGACAGAAATGTATTCTCTAACAGCTCTAGAGACCAAAATCCGTTTCATGGCACTGAAGTCAGCGTGTCGGCAGGGGCTGCATCTCCAGATCCGGGGGGCTCCAGGTCACCCCCCTCTGCCCCCAGCAACACGCTGCTCTCTGCGGGTCTCTCAGCCCTTCTTACCAGATCCGTGGGATGGGATTTATTAGCCTCCCACCAGACTCTCAGAACCTTACCCCCATCTCAAGAGTCTCAACTTGAGGGGCACCTGGGTGGCTCAGTCATGACTTCGGCTCGAGTCATGATCCCAGGGTCCTGGGATTGAGTCCCGCATCGGGCTCCCTGCTCAGCAGGAAGCCTGCTTCTCCCTCTCCCATTCTCCCTGCTTGTGTTCCCTCTCTCGCTGTCTCTCTCTCTGTCAAATAAATAAGCTCTAAAAAAAAAAAAAAAGTCTCAACTTGATCACAGCAGCTAAGTCTGTGTCCTGCCACCCAAGTAAAATTCATGGGTCCTGGGGATTAGGACAGAGGTCTCTTCTGGGAGCCATTCTGACCCCCTGGAAGGGGTTCCACCCATCAGGGGATGGCTGTGGTCTCCAAGGCCAGCTCTGTGAGAGAAAAGCGGGCCGGAAGGGTCTCCCCATATAAGGATGGGGTACGGGGCGGCCTCGAGACAACAGGGTAGTGTGGATCCTGCTGGAGCGTCACAGGGCAGGAGACGCAAAGCGGATGAAAAACTGGCCAGAAGGTAAACCGACAAGACCAGGAGCCCAAGGTAATGAAAACCTGCTGACACACGGCCGCAGCTGTCACACTCGTCAGTTCACGTGTCCCTCCTGTGCAGTCAGGTGGCCTGGCCCTCAAGCTGCCAGCACGCCCGTCACAGCCGGACCCAGGATCGGCTTGCTGCCTCTCCCGTCTGCAGTCCGAGTTTCTAAACACAGCCAACTCCAGACCCCGCCCGCGAGAGTGTTGGCGCGCGCAGCGCAGGGAACTGCAGCCCCTTCTCCCCCGTGCTCGTTGCCCAGACATCCCACCCCACCCCCGCCCGGCCCTTCTGTGGGAAACCCGGCGGCGAAGCCTGGGAGCAAACCCGGAGGGAGGCCACCAGCCCTGCTTCTGACCAGACATGGGATGTCGCCCACAGGCGGCACAGGTGTCACTCACGGGAGCTGCCTGGTCCCTCCGGTTCTCAACACACGGGACGCAGGCACCTGTTGGCACGCCCTCTTGGGGAAAACACTGCCCTCGTGCTCTGCAGAGCCCCCAGGCGCGGTCTGTGCCCTCCCTCCTGGGTCCTGACTGCGGCCCCACTGGAACCAAGAGCCAGGGATGATGACTCCCCTCCGAGTTGGGCCCCCGGGAGAAGCAACACAGCCCACAGAAGAGCTGTGGCTGGGGGGGGGTCTGGGCCTGCTCACCAGCTGCATCTTCAGCCATTTGTTTGTTTGTTTGACAGATTTGTCCATTCACTTGAGGGCACACACATGTGCTCAAGCAGGAGGGAGGGATGGGGGGGGGACACAGACTCCCCACTAAGCCTAATGCCAGGCTCAATCCCAGGACCCCAGTATTATGACCTGAGCCGAAGGCACACGGGTAACCAACTGAGCCACCCAGATGCCCCGCATCCTAACTCATTTTAAGCCTCATTTTCTTCATCTATAAAATGGGAATAAAACTGTCACTGCCCTCCTCTTAGGTTTAAGTATCAAGCGACAGCATTCCACGGAACACACATTTCATACCTCGTTAAAAAGTCCTCTTATCCTTAAGCATAGTAATCGCAAATGGTCTGTTTCTGTCACCCTTACCGTTTCCTCCATCAGTCAGCTCATTAGGTGACCCGCAATCCCAAACTCAGCGGACAGGCGCGTTTCTTCCTCATGCTCAGAGGCCCGCAGCTCCCGAGGCTCGCTCCTGTGGACGGGGGAACGTGACCTTGCAGAGGAGCCAGCGCCCGAGGCCTCCAGAGGCCCCGGTTCAGAGCATGCACACAATGGGACCACGTTCTCTTGGCCTCCACGATGGCCAAGGCCAGCAGCAGCAGTGGGCAGTCAGGGGTGCGCTCCTCCATGCCCAGCCCCGTAAGGAGACACAGAGTCGGTGCCCGGGAAGGGCAGGAAGCCCCGAGCTTCTGGCGTGTTTCAGTCCTGACAGCCGGGAACTAGCAGCAACAGCAGACGGCCCTCTCTGACCGGCTGAGCGAGCTCACTTCGGTCTGGACAGACTGACACCGTCTTTGGTTGGACTAAACCTGCTCCAGAGACAGGAAAGGGAACTGCACATCACAATGGTTTACTGAAGTCCAAGCCGGGTCTTAAGCCCCGATGTGGCTGAAATCAAAGGCCAAGGAGAAAGTCCTCTAAGCACTAAGGCCGGCAACAGAGGGGCGCCTCCATGCACGTGGCTGGGCGGCGAGTCACAGGAAATGCCACAAGACCCCCTGCCCTGCTCCTGAACGCTCTGGGGTGGGGGTGACTTCACACCAACATGTCGCCCTGCGGCAAGGATGTCCACGGCAACAGGAAGGACCCACAGCTGTGGTTTCCACACGGCGCACTGAGGCGCGTCTGGCCCCACGGGCCCTGCAGGGCGCTCTAGGATACTCGCAGCGTCTGAGGGGAACAGCTGAACTCAACGTGGGGGGGCGCTGTGGGGGCAGAGCCCACGGTTTCAGCGTTTGCTCTCGCTACGTCTGCATGGCCGCGGGGCTCTGTCATCACTGTAAAATCCGTGTGCAACGGGCACCAATGACGGCAGCGTCCACTCTGATTCCAAGATTTCCAAGTGCCCAACAGGCACTCACCTTCCATTCCTAAGTAATTTTAGTGACTTAACTGAAAGTGTTTTCTCTTCAAATTCGTATATACAGATCTTCCTCAATTTACCGTAAAGGTTATGTCCTGATAACCGCAGTGACCACACTGAGAAGCACAACTTTCCACTGTTAGGTTTAAATATTGTTGAAATCCACTCAATAAGCCTAACCTACCGAGCGCCATAACTTAAGGCTCGCCTCCTGAAACGTGCTCCGAACACGGGCACTGGCTTACAGCTGGGTCAAATCCTCCAACACCAACCCTATTTCATAACGGCACGTTCAGTATCTGTTACTCTGCGGACTGCTGTGCCGACAGTGGGAAAAGAACGGCTGCCAAGGGCAGACAGACTCACCCCTGCGACCGTGTGGCCGGCTGGACCCTGGGGCTCCTGCCACTGCCCAGCATCCCGAGAGAGGATCCTGCCACGGATCCCTCGCCCGGGAATAGACCCGACCCACATTTAGAACTTGAGGTGTGGGTTCTCGTGAAGGCATGCTGCTTTTGCACACTGTAAAGTCAAAACTCGTTAAGACGAACCACTGTAAGGTAGGGACTGTACATTACTTTTCCCAATGCCTCTTAAGTTGCTAGGACATAAATACTTAAGTTGTTCAGACTTACCTATTTAATTAATGGAACTGGTAGATATTTTTGGCCTAGGCAGTCCCTTAGAATAATTACGGGACCTTACGTAGGGGTGCTCCGAACAGGAATGTGTGGGTCTGACACATACATAATGAATATGCCTGAGTTACGCTATCTGTAGTTCCTATACTGAATAGATCTTCTCTTCTGGCCTTCGTCATTTATAACAGACTGAATACCCATCTTCTCACTAATTCTCTAAACTGCTAATGAGAATAATTATAATCTCAACTCTATTTAAATGCACGAGTGCATAGTGACTTAAAAAAAATCCATCAGTCTGGGGCAGCTGGGTGGCCCAGTGGCTAAGCGTCTGCCTCCGGCTCAGGTCATGATGCCAGGGTCCTGGGACCCAGCCCTGCATCGGGCTCCCTGCTCAGCCATAGGCTTGCTTCTCCCTCTCCTCTGGCTTGTGTTCCCTCTCTCCCTATGTCAAATAAATAAAATCTTAAAAAATGAAGCAAAACGAAAAAAGGAGTCAGCCTGTTACTCCGCAAGTGGAAGTCTCCCTGCCTTTCCTATGTAGACGGGAGCACCCAGTCGCCCAGTGGTTAGCGAGGAGCCATTCCTCTGTACAGGAGCACTCCAGCCAAGCAGTGAGGGGCTGCCAGAACGTGAGCCTCAGCAATTTGGGACCCTACCAGAGGCACTCCTCGTCGGTGGTTACTATCTCACAGAAGACAACCAGCTGTCCACACCTCAATAGAGGACACAACAGCACTTAGGTAGGAGCTTGCCAAAACCACCGGGGACGTATGCAGCCTCTAGATCTCAGGACTGACTTACAAGGGACAGAGATGCATCAGTCATCGGCACCATGGGGACACGGCACAATCCAGACTGCGAAACTGCAGGACAAAGAATGATCTCATCAATAAATTTTTCAAGAGAAGGAACGACAGATTAAAATATGAGATCTATTACTAATTCCATGTGGATCCTTTAAAAACAATAAATGTCATTGTCTAAACGAATATTCCATTGGGGTGCCTGCCTGGGCGGCTCAGCTGGTCAAGTGTCCGACTCTTGGTATCAGCTCAGGTTTTGATCTGAGGGTTGTGAGATCAGGCCCCACACTGGCCTCCATGCGTGGAGCCTACTTAAAAAAAGAATTAAATGGGCGCCTGGGTGGCTCAGTGGGTTAAGCCGCTGCCTTCGGCTCAGGTCATGATCTCAGGGTCCTGGTGATCGAGTCCCGCATCAGGCTCTCTGCTCAGCAGGGAGCCTACTTCTCTCTCTCTCTCTCTCTCTCTCTGCCTGCCTCTCCGTCTACTTGTGATCTCTCTCTGTCAAATAAATAAATAAAATCTTTAAAAAAAAATTTGTATTAAAAAAAAAAAAAAGAAGAATTAAATGGAGCACCTGGGTGGCTCAGGCCATGATCCCAGGGTCTTGCGTCAGGCTCCCTGCTCACTGGGGAGCCTGCTCCCTCTGCCTGCCACCCACCCGCCCCCACCCCACTTGTGCTGACAAATAAATAAAATCTTAAAAAAAAAAAAAATCTGTCATCAGTTTCTCCTAGTCCTTGAGATGAAAGCTGAAGCGATTCCAGCTGCGGGCCTCTGCTCCACCTGCAAAGCTGGGCTGTCCTGTCACTCTGGTTTCAGCTCAAACAACACCTCTTAAGGGAGGTCGTCCTCTCCCTAACAGCCCTTACCACGAACATGATCCCAGTATCACCTTTCTTCATGACTTTTAGCACTTGTTTTCTTGGTTCTTTAAAGTGTTTGCTCTTACTTGTTTACCCTTGCTTAAGGCTGGCCTCTGGACTGGAACACAAACCCCGTAAGAGCAGAGACCTCGTCCAACCGCTCCATCAAACTTCCTGTGCCTA